AGCTGCGGTAATGACATCTTGTGTCGTAAAGGACACAGTGCCATGAAATCAAAAACAGGCTACTGTAGAGAACAACAGTAAAAGAAACAGAAGGTATTGCATGTGTAAAAGATAGTAGTAGTTTTGCAGTAAAGCACTCAAACTGTCATTACCAGCTTTGGTTCCAGGTGAGTGTTGGGCACGGTTTCTTTGAAAGCCTGAAACAATGCTTCCTGTATTTTTCAACTGAGGCCACTGCCTTCTTCAGCTTGTACTTTGCATCTCTGAGTTCGTGGTACATCTTTGATTGACTCTTTTTTTACTTTTTAAGAGCTGTCACATTAGGTGAGGGTTCTAGTGGAGTAGCATGTAAGTCATCATCAGATGGGGATAGTGGTGGTGTGTCTGTTGCAACAAACTGATTTGAGGCATGCAGTACTTTGTGTTTTGCCCTCTTGTTTCTTTTATTTAACCTCCACTGCCACCTTTTCAGATTTTTCTCTTTTTGTCAGCTGGGAGACACTCTTTATCTGCCCATTTTCCTTTCTCTTTTTGTAACGTTCTTTTTTCCTTCTCCAGATACTCTGCATACCTCTCTGGGTCTTTTCTCATTTCCTCTGCATTCTTTGATCTTATTGTTGATGAATTTGGTCTCATCTAGGGTTGCAAAATGTCATGTTTAAATATAATTTACAACAGACTGAATATTTGTAATTTAATATACAGTAAACCTTGAACTTGTTTCTACCGCAACACCTAAATGTGCTGCGGTAAAGACATGTTGCGGAAATGACATTTTTGCTAATATTGCAGCTAATTGGCAGCTAGCAAGGACTACTACATTAGTTTAGATTCTTAGCATTTTAATATACATGAATTAAACAGTAATATACATTTATTTTTAAAATGTAGTTCAAAGTACAGAATTACTAAGCTGTATGGTAAGGACACGCGATAAATACTGACACAGAAAAGATGATATTTACCTTATATTTTTGGGATCTGTGAGTGAGGTAGTGAGGTGACCCAATCTGTCAGCAATGTGCTCACGTGCTAATTTCTGTTTCCATAGAAACTAGACTTGTTTGTCTTTGATAAAATGTCATAATAAAAGCCTTGTTTCATTGTTGCGGTAAGGACTCAAAAGTGTGGGACAGGCACATTTGAAAAAATAATTAAAATGATCAGTAAATAATACAAAACAATTTAAGTTGCTGTAAATTAATATGTATATTAAACAATTCCATTTGAAATAATGTCAAATTATAATTCAATTAGCTTATTTTACATATCTCAACATTGTGACCAGAGTTGTGGGACATGAACAAAAATGGTGTTTGGACCTATAAATGCTTCATAATTTTATATTAAATCACATTAATCATTAATTATATTTTTTGTCAAGGTGTGTAATGACACTGTGAATATATTTAAAAAGCATCATATGACAAATTTGAACATAAATCTAAAAAATCTAAAATGGGACTTAAAAGTGCCCATAGTTGCAGAAACACCCAGAAATCTGGTATAATCAGTCAGCTCAGTCAGCGTGGGTAGGAGGAACTAGTGTTTGCACTAAGTCATGATAAGATGTTTAGTAATATCCACAGCATGTATTTAATATCACTTTGAGATGAGATCTTGATCACTACAGATCTCAAACACTACAGATTTAATACATATGCCACGTATAACAGTATAGAAGCAGTCAGATAAATGTGAAAAGGCATAATTCATTTTCTCTTTTCTGGTGCCTTTCATTGTCTGTACAGCTTACATTATTATTCATGAGATTCATGAGATCCATGAGTAGAATCTGGTTGGTTTAACTGATTATTGAACAATGCCAAGTGTTCCATTGTTTCCATTGTGCAGTGAGGTTCTGTCTGCCAGCTTGAACCTTTCCATCTCCATTTTTGGTCCTTTTAGCCTGGAATCTTTTCACACTGCACGTCCATTACACCATTTCTATTGAAGGGTGGAGTGTGGAGATACATGTTTGAAGCCATCAGGCACGATATATTCATGAGCCCTTACTGAATAATAATACAGAAATTTGACTGACTGCAAAATTAGCTCTTAAAATATGTTGTTTCCAACCGAAAATGTATTTTCTTTGGTTTGATAATACCAGTGTTGATTCTGTTTCTACATACAAATAAGATATTATCTGTTCTTTTAGAGCAAAAGGTGGTGATTATTAGCTAGAACATGCAATATTCAGGTGAAACTGCTTCTTTTAGAGCTATGCCTAAACAGACCCCAAGACATTTTTTTCATAAAAAACATGTTTATTTAAAGAGACTCCATTAACATTTAATTAACATTACCCCATAACCACAATATTTCATCTACTGCAGTGTCTCTGTGACATTAAGACAAACTTAGCAGTGCATTTGCAAGTGGAGAGCAGATATACATTGTATGTTGGGCTTAAAAAAAGGGGCTGATTTCAAAGCAGCGCAATTTTAACATTATCAGTAATCTAAATACACCAACATTGTGCAGAACTTCAAACACTGTGGGCATCTGCAGTGCTGATGAATGCGGTATATGCTATTGGTACAAAATGAATCTCATTCTTTCAAACAAGTCAGAGGTGCAACACAATAGCTGTCTGAGACTGTTGACTGCATCACATATACGCCCACATCGTCATGACAGTAATATGCAATACTGCAGAATATTTGCATTCTTCATCACAAGGTGTACTGTGAGACTGCCTACGGGTCAAGCAAAGCAGTGGCATGTGAGTAGTTACAGTATAAGTATAATACATCATGGCTGTCAGACGTTAACTGTCAAGTCTCAAGAATAAGCATGAGATTTATAAGGAGATTTATAGGTTTTTGTTTATTGTTGAAGATTGCTAATTTACATAGAAAGGTTATATAAATAAATACAACTAAATGCATGTTGTTCAATGCCAGTGCTTGCTGAAGCTCTGTGGAACGGTGCAACTGCATCTTCGTTCATCATGTAATGATGGATAGACCAAAATCCAGCTAGGTCCATCCTATGACAATGCCCACAGCTATAAGGAACTCATTCATTGGTGTTTAGAATATTTGAGTTATACATTTAATAACACTGATGTGGATGCCCTCAAAGTCACTGTCTATATGAGTGTCTCTTCTTCTTTACACTCATCCCAAATGAGTTCTGCAAGGATTTACGTTGTCTTGAGCGGATTTTGGTTTTCCAGTGACAGTGGAGATGAGTGATTGACAGCTGATCCCCTCTTGAGAGCAGCACCCACAATGAACCTTGATGTTGGCAGGTCCAAGAGATGGGTGACAAGTCAGCTTTCCTCTCACAGTGCCAGCAGGATGACATAAATGGGCTGTATTGATTACCTAGTGTATAGATAGGAATGAAAAACAGAAACTTTAAATTTAAACTGACTGGGTGAATGAATAATGAATTGTGGTAATTACCATCAGCTGTCAAGGACTAATGTTAAAAGTATTGTAAATAATTGTAAAGATGTGTCCGAGTGTTGTTCTGTTTATAAATTAATATGTATATTAAACAATTCCATTTGAAATAATGTCAAATTATAATTCAATTAGCTTATTTTACATATCTCAACATTGTGACCAGAGTTGTGGGACATGAACAAAAATGGTGTTTGGACCTATACATGCTTCATAATTTTATATTAAATCACATTAATCATTAATTATATTTTTTGTCAAGGTGTGTAATGACACCGTGAATATATTTAAAAAGCATCATATGACAAATTTGAACATAAATCTAAAATTTCACTGCTGGGACTTAAAAGTGCCCATAGTTGCAGAAACACCCAGAAATCTGGTATAATCAGTCAGCGTAGTTCTCATATGGGTAGGAGGAACTAGTGTTTGCACTAAGTCATGATAAGATGTTTAGTAATATCCACAGCATGTATTTAATATCACTTTGAGATGAGATCTTGATCACTACAGATCTCAAACACTACAGATTTAATACATATGCCACGTATAACAGTATAGAAGCAGTCAGATAAATGTGAAAAGGCATAATTCATTTTCTCTTTTCTGGTGCCTTTCATTGTCTGTACAGCTTACATTATTATTCATGAGACTAATATTTTCCATGAGTAGAATCTGGTTGGTTTAACTGATTATTGAACAATGCCAAGTGTTCCATTGTGTTATGCAAGCAGTGAGGTTCTGTCTGCCAGCTTGAACCTTTCCATCTCCATTTTTGGTCCTTTTAGCCTGGAATCTTTTCACACTGCACGTCCATTACACCATTTCTATTGAAGGGTGGAGTGTGGAGATACATGTTTGAAGCCATCAGGCACGATATATTCATGAGCCCTTACTGAATAATAATACAGAAATTTGACTGACTGCAAAATTAGCTCTTAAAATATGTTGTTTCCAACCGAAAATGTATTTTCTTTGGTTTGATAATACCAGTGTTGATTCTGTTTCTACATACAAATAAGATATTATCTGTTCTTTTAGAGCAAAAGGTGGTGATTATTAGCTAGAACATGCAATATTCAGGTGAAACTGCTTCTTTTAGAGCTATGCCTAAACAGACCCCAAGACATTTTTTTCATAAAAAACATGTTTATTTAAAGAGACTCCATTAACATTTAATTAACATTACCCCATAACCACAATATTTCATCTACTGCAGTGTCTCTGTGACATTAAGACAAACTTAGCAGTGCATTTGCAAGTGGAGAGCAGATATACATTGTATGTTGGGCTTAAAAAAAGGGGCTGATTTCAAAGCAGCGCAATTTTAACATTATCAGTAATCTAAATACACCAACATTGTGCAGAACTTCAAACACTGTGGGCATCTGCAGTGCTGATGAATGCGGTATATGCTATTGGTACAAAATGAATCTCATTCTTTCAAACAAGTCAGAGGTGCAACACAATAGCTGTCTGAGACTGTTGACTGCATCACATATACGCCCACATCGTCATGACAGTAATATGCAATACTGCAGAATATTTGCATTCTTCATCACAAGGTGTACTGTGAGACTGCCTACGGGTCAAGCAAAGCAGTGGCATGTGAGTAGTTACAGTCTAAGTATAATACATCATGGCTGTCAGACGTTAACTGTCAAGTCTCAAGAATAAGCATGAGATTTATAAGGAGATTTATAGGTTTTTGTTTATTGTTGAAGATTGCTAATTTACATAGAAAGGTTATATAAATAAATACAACTAAATGCATGTTGTTCAATGCCAGTGCTTGCTGAAGCTCTGTGGAACGGTGCAACTGCATCTTCGTTCATCATGTAATGATGGATAGACCAAAATCCAGCTAGGTCCATCCTATGACAATGCCCACAGCTATAAGGAACTCATTCATTGGTGTTTAGAATATTTGAGTTATACATTTAATAACACTGATGTGGATGCCCTCAAAGTCACTGTCTATATGAGTGTCTCTTCTTCTTTACACTCATCCCAAATGAGTTCTGCAAGGATTTACGTTGTCTTGAGCGGATTTTGGTTTTCCAGTGACAGTGGAGATGAGTGATTGACAGCTGATCCCCTCTTGAGAGCAGCACCCACAATGAACCTTGATGTTGGCAGGTCCAAGAGATGGGTGACAAGTCAGCTTTCCTCTCACAGTGCCAGCAGGATGACATAAATGGGCTGTATTGATTACCTAGTGTATAGATAGGAATGAAAAACAGAAACTTTAAATTTAAACTGACTGGGTGAATGAATAATGAATTGTGGTAATTACCATCAGCTGTCAAGGACTAATGTTAAAAGTATTGTAAATAATTGTAAAGATGTGTCCGAGTGTTGTTCTGTTTAGCTAAAACTAAAACTATTAACAATTCTTTTAGGTACTTGAAATAAAGCTAAAATAAAATAAAATATTAGTATTAGATGAAAAACTTCAACTGAAAAAATTTTAAAATGCTGCATTAGCAACTAACTGAAATAAATAAGATTAGGTTGAAGTACTAAAATTACTAAAACTGAAACAAAAATTAATCATAGCTATATAGAAATATAAAAAAAATACAAAAACACAAAACCTAAACTAAAATTAAAACTGAAAAGATAAAAATAAAAGCTAACCCAAAATAATAAATAACAGTATATAAATAATACTGAAATAACACTGATGTGTGCATTTAGAATATTCACTGTAGTCAGCAGGCTAGAACATTGCTGTTATCAGCATTTGGGAAAATGGGAAATGGGACTCACTGAATGCCACTTTGAGATGGGCTTACACCAGGCCGTCATAAAGGGAGAGTGCCTGAACAATTGAGGGGTCTGCCTTGGAGCCCTCCTGAAACTCCTGCAGAGTCAACATCCCATCTGCATTCTGTTGACAAAAGGAAGACAGTCATAAGTCATGTCACTGTTTTCACACATAATCGTATTAAGTGCATACAGTTTGTGGTGGAAGATATACAGGAATCAAGTAGAAAGACAGTTTTTAATGATGCATTCAAATCTCTTCTTTCTCTTTAGAGCTCAGTGCTTTCAAAGGCTCTTTTATCAAAGCTTTTCGAGGTACTCTATAGATGCAGTGCAATAGAGCTTCTGTTTTGTGTCTTTCATGTGGCGTGCCTTCTGTGTTTCAATCACAGCAGAAATAAGCCATTGGTATTGAACCTACAGCTATGAATATTCAGTCGTAGGAAGTCATGGGATTGAATTGTTGTTGATGACTAAAAATTCTCAAAGAGTAATTGCAATTCACTATAAATGCAGTACATTTTCCATATTTATTTTATACAGTCAACTATTTCTGCAAGTAATGTGTATGAGAACAATGAAGAAGCAGAAGACAATAAGTACACAGCAAATAAATACACAGAATTCACCTTATCCATCATAGCAAAGATGCGGTCGACTCGCTTCTCTGGTGTGTTTTCCTCCTCAGGTAACTCCACTGTGTTCCCCTGCAAGATATAAATCAGGCATAAATTATTAGGACATACCTATACTCCCGGCTTTTGATAGCAGGATAAGAAACAACCAATCATGGGGTAAAACAAATCCTGGATGTCAGAAATTTCATTTCTGTGTGGAAAATAAAGATAAATGTTGTTATTTTTATATTTTTGCACTTCAGATAAAACCAAACACGTTTTTGTAACAGCCAATTGAGCAAAAAGAAAAAAAAAAACAAAGAAACAAACAAAAGACTGCAATGAATACAAGCAATTCAGCTGACTGCGTGTATCAAGTTGAACTTAAGGGAAAAATATTGATCACTGTAAGCGATACGGTGAATATAGAAAATATGGTGAATTATGTTCATTCAATAGCATCCAAGAGCAAAACACAATAGTAATAAGTGTTCTGCTGTATGTAAATGGAACTTTACAGTAAGTTTCTACAGTGCCGTGAAAAGGTTTTTGCCCCCTTCCTGTTTTTTTTATTTTTTGCATATTTGTCACACTTAAAAGATTCAGATCATCAAACCAATTTTAATATTACGCAAAGATAATGCAAGTAAATACAAAATGCAGTTTTTAAATGATAATTTCATTTATTAAGGGAAAAAAGCTGTCCAAACCTACCTGGCCCTACGTGAAAAATTATTTGCCCCTCCTCTTAAATCATGAAAGAACTGTGATTAACATTTAATATATAATGTACTTGGTATCATGAATAACAATGAACAATCATTTTTTATTTATTTAAAGTTAATTTTTGAAAATACTACTGCTTAGCATTAATTCAAGTTAGTTCAGTTAAACAGTAACTAAAGTTATCTAACACAACAATTTTAGTGTCACTAAAAAATTTGCAAGATTAACGCTTTACATGTATTTTTATTATTAGTTCTTGTGAAAAACCTCACAGTAAAGTTACCCTTTTCCCCATACTCTTAACATATTTAAAATATTCTGCTGCAGAGATGCACAATATGTAAGATGTTCAATATGTAAGATTCCTCATGTGTTTCTTATTTTATATACTAGTATATGACCCTGGACCACAAACCCAGTCTTAAGTGTCAATTTTTCGAAATTGAGATTTATACATAATCTGAATCGAACATTTTGACCCATACAATGTATTTTTGGCTATTGCTACAAATATACCCCAGCGACTTAAGACTGGTCACATATATACATGTATTTGGATGACAGAAAATGGAGGTGCACAAAAAATATGTTTTTACTTTCACAAAAAGCTAAATCTACTGAAAATGTCTTGTTGTTGTTCTCATAGAATTAATGGGTAACTTTCATAACTTTCACCACACAGGTGAATGGGGCCTCTTTGCCACTTGTATATGATCAGAGCAGCAAGAAAACATCTTGTGTAATAAAAAAGGCACCCAATGCTATTAAGCTTCCTGGAAGCCAGTGTTTGTAAAGATATTCACTGCAGTCTCTTTATCAATTTGACAGACCTTCATAATAAATTTTTAGAGTTTAGGCTTACAATAAACACCATGTTGGCCTTCCAAGAAAGCTCTTTCATTAACTCAATAGAAATAGAAAGTTATGGTTCAGTGAGAAGCAAATGACTCACCACCATCTGGTAGATGGCGTCCACAATGTTCAGCATCTCATCTCGGGTTATGAAGCCATCATTATCAAGATCGTAAAGTTTAAAGGCCCCTGTGACAGCAATAACAAGCAAGCACATTAAGAAATGTCTCTCTCTGCAGTATCTTCAAATGAGCTGAGGATATAGACTATTCTACTGTTTATTTTGACATGCTGCTCATCTTTTCATTAGTCATGATGATAAATTAAAATGAAAACTTGGCAGACTTGTTCAGATCATTTAGTAGCACATTCAGTGTGCACTGTAAAAAATAAGTGTAATTTTAACTGTAAAATTTTGTAAAAACGCTACGGAAAAAAACTGTTAATAGGTTAACAGTAAGTTCCCGTACTATATACAGAGGACAACTGTAAAATATCTAACCCGACATTTCATGTAATTTTACAGTAAAATGCTGTTAAAGATCTGTTTTACTATAAGACTCTGAAATGTCACTTCCTGAGACAGATAAATGAACACATCTCTGCTGCACAAACAAGAAACTTTTGATGTACTGCTAATATTATGAGATATATAAAGGAATTCTGGTCTTACATCTGAGTTTTTCATCCAGTGTCCCTCTGGATGTGACAGACAGAGCTTGAATAAACTCTGAGAACTCAATGCGTCCATCCTGCGGATACACAACAGAAAGACAGCATGAGAACTGATGGGTAAAGCGTAAAAAGGAATCTAAAGGAGTGACAAAAAGGGTTGATTTTATACTGCTTTGTTACAGCCTCACATCAAACTGAGATGAAAGAGACACCAAAGAGGGCAAACAACTGCAGAGTGACACAGCAAAAAACTGCAGACAGCAGCAGGGAAAGATGTTATCTTACCTGTGTTCAATACCACCTCACAGAAGGTTTAACATATTGAAAATGTCATTTTGACAGTGATTTGGAAGTGTGTCTAAAGATGTGACTGTAGCAGACAGTCCCACTGAGAATCTAGAAACATCTGAGAATAGTCTACAGGGGCATCAGACCGGCAATGTCTGACTCACACACACATGTCATATTCTCTATAAAGCTTCTAAATGCATCACCATTTTGCTCAGACTTAGACAGCAACTTGTTCTACCAAAAAAAAAAAAAAAAAGGAGGGGCATAGAATGTGAAGTTAAGAATTTATCGAGAACAGAGGAGGGAGAGAAAAAATGAGAGACAAAGAGAGAGGCACGATGATTCAACACAGCCAAAATCTGTGCTCTGAAGAAGCACTGAATATCTACAATGATGTGGTACTTTAGTAAAACATCATCCCCTCCCTTGGTGGCAGACATTCCCAAGATGAGTCAGTCAGTGTGGTAAAGAAGAGAGGTGTTTGCTGTCAGAAAGTTTTCCATGGGTCAATTACGTGTGCCTTTTTTTTGTGCCCTATCTTTTAATATTTTTCAAAAAATGCACTGAAAATGAATATAATTAAAAAGTATTTTAAAATATCAGATAAGTTGACCTTTAAAGCAGCACTATGTAACTTTTTCTGTGTTCAAAATTTGCAAAATGTATATAATGAGCGAGTACATCATGAATTCATCTTCCAAACCGCGTTTTTGTCTTATTCCGAATCACTACGGTACACTTATAATAAGTACTTATATTTGGACTATTGTAGCCTGGTCGGGTCGTCACCGCTGCGGAGTAACACATACCTGCGTGAATCGCCATAGACATAAACTTAGAGAAGTAGCTCCGGTTGGAATGTTCTTCCGTGGGATGTGTGCAGTTCTGTTTATTAACCGCTAGAGCGCCAAAAGTTACATTGTGCTGCTTTAAACGAAATGGCAAAACTAGGCCTACTTCAGGTTTTAAAATGTCATGTGGTGTGAAGCCAAAACATAATGAGATTTACGAAATAAATTAATGAATTAATAATTCACACTTTTAACAACAACTTTAAATCGTTTTTAAAGTATAAATATCTTATTTTATTCTTATTTACTTGATGGCTACAAAAATGAAACCACAACCACGCATTTAATTTTTTTTACAATGAAACCACAACCACATGAATTCATACTCATATACTAAAGCAGATGCTTTCTGCAGCATTTCCTACCCATGAACCACACTCTCAGTATATGGCCAAGAATACAATACTGTTCATTAGGATAAGTGGGAATGGAGAAGGATGGAAAGTTACATCATTTAAACATTTGGGTAATAACATTATTGTACAGATTCGATCGATTACAGTTTATCTCTCAGGTAAAGTCATGATGAGGAAAGGTAAGAGAGAGAGAGAGGACATAAAGAGCACACTTACCACTGCTGAACTTCCTTCTCTGTAACTGCAGACAGAACAAGACAAGACATAGTACAGAAGACAGTTAGATCCATCTACAATGAGAACTTTACATGTAAGGCTGCTTTGTGCTGGGTAATGCGGGTTTGGTGCTGGTCTAACTGGTGGACCAATGTAGTGACTGAGAATAAAGTTCCAAATCAATTTCTGACCTGAGGTAGTGAACAGAATGCTTAAGCACCATTTGAATTTCAGTTTAAGGAAGTAGAAATAAAACGTGATTTATATTGTAAAAAATGTATATAACTAAAATGAGTGCAATTTAAAAAATAAAAAAAAACGAATGTTTGTAAAGTAAAACTTTGGCTGATGGTTTAGCATTGTGTTATTTGAAGGTTTGAAAAAATCTTGAGGTTATACACATACATACAACACCTCATTTATATATAAATCAGCAGGGTTTTTTAATAGATTGTAACAATGTAAGTCTTTACGCTCACTTGTGCTCTATTTGATGCCTCCTTGCTGAATAAAAGTATTTTTTAAGATGGAAAGACAGGCAGACAGACAGACAGATCGGGGAATTAGTGAATTATTGGCATTGTAATTCCAGTAGATAACCAACATCATATTGCTGCTGAGAAGCTGAATGGAGACAGGGAAACGTGGAAACCTGACAGGAAATCTGCTGTTGCTGTCTCTCACTGCTTAGAGGCAGACTGCCTTGTCAACACAGCTAACATCAGGCCTGTCACTACACTGTCACTACATTTGACAGCCTCTGAGCCATTGCAGAGAGAGCTTTTTCCACAAAGATTTATTCCTCTTATATACGCATGAGCAGACACACACTTTTAGATCCAGTGCTACAGTGGAAGGACCTGTAAATGAAAATACAGTTATACATTATATGTATTCATTCAGCACTTTTATCAAGTGAATTTAGAGGTTATTTTGTACATATGTGCTAGACGGATGTGTTTGGCGTTTTATGATTAGATCTTGCTGTATCCAAAGAAACTTGCATCATAAGTGCATAGTTCTTATGTTTAAATCTTTGAACAGCATGTCTTGAGAGGCCCCAGTGAGATGCTATATTGAAGAATTGTGCAGATGCAACACTTTAGCATTTTTTTGACCTGATATTCTCAATATGCCATTGGCTCAGACGGTCATTGCGGTTTGTGTTCGTTCAGTGTTTACATTTTAATACTCTTGAGTACTGTTTGCAGTTGTGTTTGCACACGTACACACACACACAGAAAGCACTTTGTCTGGGATAGGAATGTAGTCATTACCAAGGTCAGTGATATGCATCCATGTAGAACGAAAGGTAGAACGGAGAAAAAAATAAATGGTGAAAGAAGATAAATTGTATGAAGATACTAAAAATTTCCTTGATTATGGATGAGGAGAAAGAAAATTGTTGAAACAGGGATATGATACAGACATTGACAAGCAGAGAGAGCACTAGCTGAATAAGGAGTCAAATATTACAATAAAGGTATAAAGGATTAAAATATTTACATAACTAAAGGGTAACAGAAATCCAGTGGTATAGCAAAAAGATGTCTGGTGAGGGAGAAGAGAGGGCAGAGGGCACATGGTAACACAGGTGTGCATATGACTCAACATGACTCCAGCTACTACATCCTTCTCCATCTGCTACAACAAAGAACAAAAGAGGGGAAAAAAACACTAGAAGAGAAACCTCCTTTAAAACGGAATAAATAAGATACTCAAGATAAGATGCTCCTTACAAACCATAAAAACCTAGCCCACAAGAAACCACTAAACATCTCATCTAATCTGTCCATCACGCTGCAGGATACTTATACTCATTCTACAAAACCACTCCCTCACTGTCAGCTATCGTGGGCCGTGGCAGCAAATTAAGACCAGCAAAAGAGCAAGGCAAGAGCAAAAGACAGAGACGGGCTAAAAATAATGAACAATCCACTGCCTTGGGTGCCAGTTTTATATGTCTGATTTATATCTCGAATGATTGGAAGACGCACTAGCATGTAAGGTGCTGACACAAAGGTGTTTTTGTGCATATATCTTAAAATGAACCATAAACAAATCCATATACATGCCCAAATACTGTCAATCCTAATTCCCGAACATTAACTGTATCATTCTGCTAACTACCTGGACCCTTATGGTAAAGCGTGTAATGAAATTAACTCATTTGTAAGTCGTTAATTCTATAAGGGAATTAATCATTAATTTTATTTCTAGCTCAGGTTTTGAAAGGACTCGAATCTGAAAATTCTGAGTCAACCTGATTAAAACTGAATTCAAATCTGATAGTTTACAATTTAAATCAAACTACAAGCGACACATGCATCTTTTTGTAATCAAATTTTGCAATATTACGTTTTTACTGTATTTCTCATTAAATAAATGCAGCCCTATTCAGCGTAAGAGACTTATTTTAAAAATTTGTCTGAATCTGGATTCAATCAGTTCACAGGCATTTATTTTGTTTGTTTCTTGTTTTTATTTGTTGACTTGCTCCCATTTCCCATTTAGTAAATGTTGCTTTTTGTTGTAGAAGAAAAATGTTTATAATAATTAAAAAAGAGATTCAGGATCTCCAACCCATTAAGTCTGAAGTGACACAGCTGCATCTAGCCACATCGGCCATTATACCTAGAAACCCCCTAGAATCTCACTGCAACATTGAAGCTCATTGCTGGTCTGTCCCGAGAAAACTTCACCAATTTCTACTTTAAATTTCCTTGCTTCTTACATCTGACACATAGCAGATTCATAAGGGATATTTGATCTTACCAGGAGGTGAGAATTAGGTAAATTAATGACTAATGAAAGTTTTCCCACTCCTATGAAAATGCACGAATGTAAGACAACGACAAAAATTCAGTAATACAGTAATTGGACAGCTTCTGGGCATGGGCATTTTTCCACTTTCCTGTGTATTGGAAGTTCTCTGAAGATGACAGTTTCACCTGCAGTCACCCATAAAAACAACAAACAAACAAAATCGGACAACTTTTGCTACAGCTTTCAAACTGCTACAAGCCCACAAGGGGACCCAAACAGCAGCAGGCAGTAGTAAAACAGGCCAATTTACAAAATCCCATGCTGCGAAGGATTACAAACACAATGCCTTTAAAACACCTGGAACATAAAACGAATGGCTGCAGTGCTCTCCTCAATTCACCATTAAGAATTACAAACTAGCCTCCTAACAAAAGAGTACACAAGGAATAAGAGGTTGCATCAGAGATCTCAGCGCCATTAGGCTTGCATCATATAATCCCAGTGTTTGTGACTAAATTGAGCAATATGCACTGAACAGTAGTCAATTTATCAATAGAAACACCTCATAAATCGACAGCTAACTGCAGTGCATTGCTGATTACGTGAATCAGAGGACATCCCCTGCCAGGTTGCCTGTGTGGGCCACATTCTGTGAAGCAGACTCTCGGTAAATCTCCCTCCACATCACGCCTGCTGTAGTGCCTCTACCCTGGGCCACCCACTGTGATATTTGATTAAGCCTATTTGTGGACATAAACTCGATGTGAAGGCAGGGAAGGGGAGACTTCAGACTTCTATACTGGAGACTTCAGACCAGCTGACAGACCTGGTTGCCATCATCACCGGTGAGTTATCCTGTCTATCTCTTTCCGGAGTGCCAGATGCCTTCTCTTGAACACATATCTATATGCATGTGTCCAATTTTCTATGCAGTGCGACGGAAAAGCAATCAGAACACACATAATCATTTGGAACTTATCTTGAGCTCTTTCATGGAAACTAGCACGTATAAACCTAAATTAAACTATTTAATAATCAATTAAAAAGAAATTAATACCTGTATGATATTTCGCAGTAACCACATTGGACAAGCAGTTTGGAAAATGGATGAATGATTCAGCTGCAGATGCCATCTTCTGGCAAGACGTGTGAATTCATTCGGCATGACCCTCACAGTGCATTATGGGTATTCACTAGGCATTGAGAGTACATCAGTTGTACACACGTTATTGAAGTGTGTTATGGGATAGAATGAGTGCACTTGATAACGTCCACCACTTCAAATGGCTGTCCCCTCAAATAGTGCCCTATTTAAAGCCCAAAGGATACTTCACTTTTTATGCATATGTGAGAGACAGTGTACAGCTCGTGTGACGCAAATTTTGTCATCAGAATAGTATGCACACACCCCGATTTTTGTAACTGTGCATACTTTTTACCCGCAGGTCGCACATGCGCATTGAATTTGTTTTGCAGTAATCAGTTGTTCCACAAGGTGGCAACACTGTCCCAGGGCGTTGTTTTACAATAGAAAATTAAATGGAAGAGAAAAGAGACAGAACAACAACAACAAAATAGCAGAGACTGCAACAACAGATGGCCACATTGACAAGCACTTCTGAGCGAGAGGGAATGGGATAGTTAAAAAAAAATTGTTATCGGTCATAAATTATGGGGAAAAATAGAGCAGACACTAGACATGGATGAAGCTTTCAAAAGCACGTGTCGACTGCCTGCATTCACGCAAAACATCAAATGGAGCATACTTTGAAAGGCTACACGTTCGACTGTACGCATACGCTAGCGCACGCATACAAAAACGAAGTATATTTTGGGCTTTAGGGTATAGGGAGCAATTTCATACACAGCCAGTGATTCTGAAGACCTTGATTAGCTGGTTTAGGTGTGTTTAATTAGTGTTGGTGCTAAACTCTACGGGTCAGTAATCCTCTAGGAACAGGTTTGGACACCACTGGTCGTCACAGACGTATTAACAGCCATTCATTCAAATTAAAATGTTTATTGCACCGAATAGTTTTCCTGTTGTGAACAGGCCTTAATGCTATAAAAAGTAACGAGACAACGTGTACCCTATCTATGGAAAGTACTCTGAATCAATGGTTCATATAGGTGTAAATAACTGTAGTCAAATGAAAACACAATGGTTGATCATTTGCAGAGCAGATGTAAATACTTTTTATAAATCTGCAGTCTAGCAAGGCGGGAAAATGTATCATCCTATTTCTTCTTATTGAAGCAGTGGAAGATGTACTAGCAGTCTTTACTGGATCAGTGGATATAGCTCATCGTCATGGTGACCATAAAACATAAACTAGAACTGAACAGAGTGTGTGAATTGATGACAAAAACAAACAATCTGAGTAAAATATTATGATATTATTACAGACAGCTTGTGGATGTGTTAGGCCAAATAGACAGCTGCCGGTCTGCAATTAGACAAGGAAATCAATCTAGAGAGACCAAAGGTTACATTTCTGGATGAGAGAAGGGGGAGAGGATGAACATAGCTGATGTGAAACTAGTGATAATGACACAAAGATTGAGAGGTGAGTGGAACAGACAGTGTAGACACTAGGCAAAGAGAACAAGAAGAGACAAGCCGCAACCAGGCTGAAAGAGAAAAGACGAGAGAGGACTGGAGAGGAGAAAAACTGAAGAAGGATGTGGGAACAGAAGGAGAGAGAGAAAAGAGGGGATACAAGGCCTGTTAATGGCTAATTACAGAATGCTTGTTTGTTTCTGTGTGTGTACATAAAGCTGTTCCCGCAAGGCAAATATTTCAATACTTCATGCACTCTTAATTCTCTTTATGTAAAAAAACTGATATTTGTGTATGTGAAATGCATTCTCTCTACAAGAAAGGTTTGTTACATGATGTGTGTATGCTATTTATTTTAATGACTGGAGACCAAAGAACCTTATCAATTCCTTAAAAGGATAGTTCACCCAAAGATGAAAATTACCCCATTTACACACCCTCAAGCCATCCTAGGTGTATATGACTTTCTTCTTTCAGTTATACTCTGATTAAGTCATAAACACATAGGATGGCTTAAGGGTGAGTAAACCATGGGGTAATTTTCATTTTTGGGTGAACTATCCCTTTAAAATCACAATGGAATTGAAGTAACAAAAATAAATAATATAGGACAGGGACTTGATTCTATTGTTTGGTTGTTGATTGGATAGAGGAAGAAGTGAATGTGAGCTTGCATTCGATTGTAAGAAAGGGACAAGAAGAAACATGTAAAGATGAACTGTTCACAATTAGACCAATAACAGCACTTTGAAAAAACAAAAAAGATTTAATTCCGTTACATGCTAACTTGAACATGAAATAAAAACGGACCCTATTTACTTTCTTAATGCACAATCCTGGTCCTCAACAGAAAATGCATTCATTTGATTAAATAAAAGCAAATCATTGTGCCCCCTTTTTAAAGTTAAAAAGTAGTTTAAAAAAAATAGTTTTCAAAAATTGATACAACTTTCCTTTTCTGCTGACATCACTTTGGCCATGCAGGCTATTGAATAATATTAACCAATAGCCAAATGACATTCCAGCAAATAGTCTGGCTGACTGTCGAATTTAACACCCACTTTTTTACAATCCAATCAATTCCAAAATCAAGTCTCACCCTATATTTTTCCTTACTGAATATCCTATTTTACACAGAAAAACATAATTTCACATTGCAGAAGTAAAATGGGATGCAGGCAATCAATTTATCAATTCATTAATCTGAATTGACTTTGTTTAGGTCATCCTGTTCAGCAGCTCAATATAGAAGAATCAGGCAAAGACCACAGAGAAACATCTAACTCAAACCCGATTCTTGAATTCCATGATGTGATATTAGGTTGACATCCATAAAATTAAACTCTTCAGTGTAGAACATTCATGCAGATTTTACTAATTGGTGTGACCACACTAGCTCACAGCATAGAAAGAAGAAAGAGGGTTGAAATGGTTCTCTCAGACCACTTTCAATCAATTTCTCTTAGTAAAAAAAAAATAATAATAGTAACTAAGTTACCTACTTGTAGCAGGTGGATCTTTGATAATGTCCCAGGGAACTGATACATTAAACGGTAGGCCTAGAAAGTCATTCATTTCTTTAGCACCATAGTACTAACTGCTAAGAGAAGTAGCTATCACTATAGTAACAAGAAAAATAAGAATCCAGTTTGATAGATCATGTTTGTTATTAACTGTCACAAACATAAAGGGATAGATCTGTCACCATTTACTCACTCTCATGTTGTTCCAAAATATTGGTAACCAATTAAAAAAACAGCTGAAGAAAGATACAGGTTTGGAACAACATGTAAGTGAATAAATGATGATTAAAAAATTATATAAGCCAAGCAAATAAAAAAAAATGTGGACAGCAGAACATGAGGTCACTCTCCAGAGAATCGGTTGTAATAAATGATCAGTTACAAATGATAAAACATACCTTAAGTTATAAATATATCCACTGCACTTTGCTGCAACACTGCAATGCAGATGGAATTTGTATTATTTGTATTGAGCCAAGAGGTCAATCTGTGACATTTAAATCCACTACTGGTCAAATGTCTTTGTGATACGGAATTCACAGGTCAGAGGTTACCAAACTTGAACTTCTGTACACTGTTTAAAGTTGTATATACAGGTGCATCTCAATAAATTAGAATGTCGTGGAAAAGTTCATTTATTTCAGTAATTCAACTCAAATTGTGAAACTCGTGTATTAAATAAATTCAGTGCACACAGACTGAAGTAGTTTAAGTCTTTGGTTCTTTTAATTGTGATGATTTTGGCTCACATTTAACAAAAACCCACCAATTCACTATCTCAACAAATTAGAATACTTCATAAGACCAATAAAAAAAACATTTTTAGTGAATTGTTGGCCTTCTGGAAAGTATGTTCATTTACTGTACATGTACTCAATACTTGGTAGGGGCTCCTTTTGCTTTAATTACTGCCTCAATTCGGCGTGACATGGAGGTGATCAGTTTGTGGCACTGCTGAGGTGGTATGGAAGCCCAGGTTTCTTTGACAGTGGCCTTCAGCTCATCTGCATTTTTTGGTCTCTTGTTTCTCATTTTCCTCTTGACAATACCCCATAGATTCTCTATGGGGTTCAGGTCTGGTGAGTTTGCTGGCCAGTCAAGTACACCAACACCATGGTCATTTAACCAACTTTTGGTGCTTTTGGCAGTGTGGGCAGGTGCCAAATCCTGCTAAAAAATGAAATCAGCATCTTCAAAAAGCTGGTCAGCAGGAAGCATGAAGTGCTCTAAAATTTCTTGGTAAACGGGTGCAGTGACTGTGACTTCAGAAAACACAGTGGACCAACACCAGCAGATGACATTGCACCCCAAATCATCACAGACTGTGGAAACTTAACACTAGACTTCAAGCAACTTGGGCTATGAGCTTCTCCAACCCTTCCTCCAGACTCTAGGACCTTGGCTTCCAAATGAAATACAAAACTTGCTCTCATCTGAAAAGAGGACTTTGAACCACTGGGCAGTTTCAGGCTGAATGGCTAAATGTGAAGATGGTATATTTTCACATTTTAAATGTATTATTTGTGACTTATTAGAAACATAAGCCATGAAGCAAATAAAAATATCCTTAATTACTGCATATTGTGAAAAATATTGCACACAGTGTGAATGCAACAAATAACGAAACCTCTTTGCATCTGCATTTCCATGTGTTTGTATACGTATAAATGTAAATGAAATAAACACAAAGTCTAGTGGGACCGTGGCCTTACACTAAAACAAAACAATGGTCACTTAAACAGTTGTTGCTAATCTAGTCGTGTAGACTTAATTATGTCATAATTATGATCACTGTTCTACCTTCCCCTCTAAAATTTGCTTCACCTATTTCGCACTGTGGTTAATATGCAGCATTAGCAAGGTCCCAAAGCCTCATCTCATTTCAGCAATCTAAATCAAGTCAAAGCCAGTTGATGTGATAATGATAATGCTAATATGCTTTCTCCACCTCAGGGAAGGATTGTTGCAACACAATTTGCAGTTAGCCCCACACCTTATTGACTCGACGTGTGAGTTGCTGCCAGCTGTTCATGTAGGCACCTTATCTTCTCACAACAGAGATGCAAGCCAGTCAAAACACGCTTAATGATTATATAATTAGTGACAGAGGACAATCAATGACCCCAGAGACGAAATGATGATCACATTCGATTCAAAGGTACATGAACGTAATCGTTCATAAGCAGGCAGGTAAGACACACACACACACACACACACACAAATAAACAGAATCAATAGTGCAGTATAATAGCTTGGTTGCATTCAGCTTATACTTAAGCCAATTGCAACTTTATGAAATCCACCAATACTGGTTTTAGGAAAGATGGTTTTAAAGTAAATACTAGCAGGCTTGTTTCCATTTAAATTTAGAGAAGGAAAATAATAGGGAGAGAAATAATTAGATATAACATGCAATTAACCAGCACAATAAGGCACTAGACATGGAAGAAAAAACTAAATAGCAATACTCACAGTAGGTCTTTCTGCACAGCTCTTCCACTACCTCAGGCTTTAGTTTGCTGTTGGACTTGCCCATCTCTCCAGCTGGCCGCAACGGTTTATCCCCACTCCCCCCAATCCCACCTTCCACTTACATTTAAAAAAAAGCGAGAGAAAGAAGGAGAGAGGGAGAAAGAGGAGGCAGCACAAGAGACCCACAAGTTCTTTTAAATCGTGCTCTGCCTTTCCTCCAGACCGCAGCAGTGTAAAAAAAGAGGAGGAAGGACAAGTAATTGAGAGGAGCAAATTACACAGAAGCAATGTGATTACAGCATGCAGTGCCTAGAGTTGTCTCTCCTCACTCAGAGGGAATGAAAGAGAGAGAGAAACAGAGAGGGCTTTAATCTGTTAACCGGTGTCCCTCCTCCCCTTTCCTCCACCTCCTCCAGTCCTCCTGCCAGTGTCTGTGGTTCCCTCGTGGAATCAATGGCTCTGAGCAGCGCTCAAGCCCAGGAGAGGCACTCTTCAATTGGATGCTGTCTGGCTCGGTCCACTGGAGGAGGAATCGATGCACTGACTGACTCAGACATGCAGACGCATTCGTTGGCTCTCTCTGAGAGAGAGAGAGAGAGTGTGTGTGTGT